GAGCAACCAGCTCACTTGCTTAAACTATTGGGTGAAGAAGCTAGGGGAGTCTGCCCCCAGAGGCTGCTGTCCTAAAGGGAGTGGCCAGATCTGAGCAGAACAATGGTGAACAGAGGCAAGGGCCCACTCCCTTAAAAGAAAGAATGTTCCAGTCAGAGAAGATTGGGTGTGGGCGGAGACAGGGACAAGACAAGAGGAGCCTTATAGATAAGAGGAGCCTTATATATAGAACTGCAAGACACAAGATGTTCCACAGCTCCAGTTGGTAACAGCAAAACATCAAGCTTCACATTCTGTTTCTCCCTTCCCCTTTGCCCTATGAAAGAATAAACCTGGGAACGGCTCAGTGCTGTGGCTACCTCCATCAGAGGTGTCCAGGCCACCCAATCCCCTTTCCTTTACTTGTGTGTCTGTGTGTGTCTGTGTTTTTTTTTTCCCCCAATCCACCATCGCTCCTCCTAGGCTCATGTCTCTCTGAGCAGGTCACAGTGGGTGGCGCCCAAACGTGGGGCCTGAGTATAGAACTACAAAGAATCAGACGAGTGGACACTTCTGAGTTCAGGCCGAAAATTAATATATTAAGGTAAGAAATTAATTAGAATCAGGAGTAAAAGACAGGGATATAGTTGTCTAAAGAGATATGTACGTCCAAATATTGTCTTGCTTGTTAAAAGCTAGGAACAGTAAAGTCAGTATCAAATGGTTACATCAATTCCTGGAGTTTGTGCAGGAAACATGCCCCTGGTTCCCAGGAAACAAATCAGGGAACGTTATTCGGCAGACAGATCCAACAGGGTTCCTATACTCTCCCAAAGAACTGGGAGGTTGCTTGGGAACTTGATTAAAAGACACCCTGGAAGGGACCAACGAATGGTGTAATGATTATGTCACTGGACTCTACGTAGTCAACTGGTTCGAGTCCTGGGTCTGGCGGCTTAAAACTCATGGCAGGCATCTGTGCGTGTGTGCCCAAGATCCCAAGAGGAGAATGGATTGTGGCGTGGCCACCCCCCGCAACCCCTGGGGGTGATGATTTCTTGCTTCCTGTCGGGTAAGTGCATGCACCCTATAGCAAAAATCTCTCTCAAAAAAACAAACAAAAACAAACCGGACACCCAGGATATATTCTTTTGCTGCCTAGAGCGCCAAGGGCCAGCCCTGAAACAGGAGACTGCCGAAGCGGGAGCCAATAGTAAAAGTGACAAACTCCCACATTTAGACAGACTAGACTTGCTGTTCCTGACAGACCAAAGTTTAAAAAAGGACAAGGGAGTCATGACCCCTTGGCCCCATGCTTCCCTGGTGTGGCCCAAGGCCCCTCATATGGAACTTGCCCACATAACAGACAGTGCTAGGGGATGAAGGTCTTCCCTTACTTAACCTCATCCGGCCAGTGTGAAAAATAGAGGGGAGGAGGAGGACACCTTGGGATTTAAATTGTGTCCAGTTATAGAGGTTCTCGATCCTAACAACCTGGGACAAGTTCAGTGTCAACACAAGCCAGTATCTTCAAAACTAAAAGAATTTAGAACACCTTGGGCACAGTATGGTCTGACAGTGCCATATACAATAGGTATTAGAAATAACTACTCGGGAACCAGCAGTTAGCGTAATGGCTATGTCGCTGGATTACCACGTAGTCGACCGCAGTTTGCGTCCTGGACCCGGTAGCTTAAAACTCATGCCGGGCACGTGTGCGTGCATGCCCAAGATCCCGACAGGAGAATGGAGAAGGGATTGCGGCGTGGCCAACCCCCCTGGGGGGGGGGTGATTTCTCACTTTCTGTCTCTCTGTCTCTCTCTGTCTGTCTGGCGAGTGAGTGCACGCGCCCTATAGCGAAAATCTCTCAAAAAAAAAAAAAAAAAAAAAAAGAAATAACTACTCATGCGCTGGCAGGTTAAGAGCGCTGGATTTCCATATGGCTGACTCTGGTTTGAGTCCCAAACCTGGAGGCTTGCTTTCTCACTTTCCCTCTCTCTCTCTCTCTCTCTCTTTGTCCCTCTCTGGTCAAATTAAAATAAATAAATAAAGTTAAATAAGAGAATTCTTAAAAAAGAAAAGAAATGGCTACTCAGGCAGCACTGCTGCCCAATGATTAGCAAGTAATAGGCAAGGCATGTCTGTCGGAAAAAAAAAAAATCATTGATACGCAAGATAGTTTTCTGCCCTCATTTAATCCCTTAGATCATTTTAGATCAACTCAAAGGCATTAATCCTTTTAACTTGCTTTGCCACTCTTTATGGTATTTCTTGGGAATTGTGTTAATAATCTTGCTTCTGTCTATATTCCTTTTTTTATTTTTTGGAGAGGTTTTTTGCTATAGGGCGCGTGCGCTCGCCAGACAGAAAGTGAGAATTCACCCCCCAGGGCGGATGGCCATGCCACAATCCCTTCTCCTCCATTCTCCACTCGTAAAGATATATGTGATTAAACAAAGAAATGGCTTATTACCTGTTGATAGTAACATGTACAGTATTCTCAACTGGACTGGTCTGAGAAATACTTCATGTTGGATAAATTCTTTATACAAGCCAAATGATATGGAGTGATTGAATGTTTAAAAAAATAAGAACAATTAATAATCTTAAAAAAATTATGAGAGCCTATTTGATGATGTGGATAGTAATGTCTTTGTCTTTGACTGATATGCATGGTAATCGTGCTGGGAAAATAAATGTAATACACTGTAAAGATATATGTGATTCACTCTAATATAAAAAAGACTGTAATAATAAATTAAAGATATATGTGATTAAATGTAATATACAAAGAAGAAAAAAAAAAAACCTCATACCAGGTGCATGTGCGTATGTGCCCAAAATTCCAAGAGGAGAATGAAGGAGAAGGGATTGCAACAAGGTTATTCCCAGGGGGTGTTCTGTCTGACTCTCCAGCAAGTACATGCCCCCTATAGCAAAAATCTCTCTTAAAAAAAAAAAAAAAATTCAAAAGGAATCATATGGGTACTCAATAACTAAAATAAACCACACACAGATAATTTGAGTAAATCAGGAATACAAAGTATAAAGACAGTAAAATATCAAGAAAACAGAAAGTATGAGTCCCAAACCTGGAGGCTTGCTTTCTCACTTTCCCTCTCTCTCTCTCTCTCTCTCTCTTTGTCCCTCTCTGGTCAAATTAAAATAAATAAATAAAGTTAAATAAGAGAATTCTTAAAAAAGAAAAGAAATGGCTACTCAGGCAGCACTGCTGCCCAATGATTAGCAAGTAATAGGCAAGGCATGTCTGTCGGAAAAAAAAAAAATCATTGATACGCAAGATAGTTTTCTGCCCTCATTTAATCCCTTAGATCATTTTAGATCAACTCAAAGGCATTAATCCTTTTAACTTGCTTTGCCACTCTTTATGGTATTTCTTGGGAATTGTGTTAATAATCTTGCTTCTGTCTATATTCCTTTTTTTATTTTTTGGAGAGGTTTTTTGCTATAGGGCGCGTGCGCTCGCCAGACAGAAAGTGAGAATTCACCCCCCAGGGCGGATGGCCATGCCACAATCCCTTCTCCTCCATTCTCCACTCGTAAAGATATATGTGATTAAACAAAGAAATGGCTTATTACCTGTTGATAGTAACATGTACAGTATTCTCAACTGGACTGGTCTGAGAAATACTTCATGTTGGATAAATTCTTTATACAAGCCAAATGATATGGAGTGATTGAATGTTTAAAAAAATAAGAACAATTAATAATCTTAAAAAAATTATGAGAGCCTATTTGATGATGTGGATAGTAATGTCTTTGTCTTTGACTGATATGCATGGTAATCGTGCTGGGAAAATAAATGTAATACACTGTAAAGATATATGTGATTCACTCTAATATAAAAAAGACTGTAATAATAAATTAAAGATATATGTGATTAAATGTAATATACAAAGAAGAAAAAAAAAAAAACCTCATACCAGGTGCATGTGCGTATGTGCCCAAAATTCCAAGAGGAGAATGAAGGAGAAGGGATTGCAACAAGGTTATTCCCAGGGGGTGTTCTGTCTGACTCTCCAGCAAGTACATGCACCCTATAGCAAAAATCTCTCTTAAAAAAAAAAAAAAAATTCAAAAGGAATCATATGGGTACTCAATAACTAAAATAAACCACACACAGATAATTTGAGTAAATCAGGAATACAAAGTATAAAGACAGTAAAATATCAAGAAAACAGAAAGTATGAAGAATCAAACAGAAAGTCTGGAACTAAGAAATATAACTATTGAACTGAAATATTCAAGAGGGGTTCAAAAACAGAGTTGAGAACCCAACCCACAGAGTAGAAATAAGCCCTATGCACAGGGAGTCAGATCTCATAGGCCGACCTTAGTATGAATCTCAGCCTCAGCAGCTTGAAAAACATGCTACACAGGTGTGTGTGTGCTCCAAATCCTGACAGGATGGAGAAGTGGAGGGAAAAGGTGTTTGGCATGATCACACCCGGTTGAAAATTGCTTTCTTATTAGAGAACAGAAATGCCATGCTTCCAGAACTCAGATCTAGCGACTCTGAGTGAATGAGTGAACACATACTCAGGGAATGTGGCCTTCCTGCTTGCAAAGGAAGTCCATTAGATGGGTGTGTGATGTGACAAATGTATATTCCCAGATTCCAAGGTGTTCTGTCCAGCCTTTGGTGTCATTTAATCTTACCCTCCTGACTGATACTGAAACCAACCTATTCTGGAAATCCTCTTATTTTTCTGATTCTCTAAGAAACAACTTTCTTTACTAAATAACTTTTCTTCCTCCTTTGCCCTAATAAATACAGAGGATGAGAGAGGGTTAGCAGGTGCATCCCTGGTATGGCCTCTCCCTCTTGACTCAGAGACTCAGATCTCTGTGTCTAGAGTAGTTAGTTATTCCATGTGTGCTTCAGGTGATTCTCTGCTGGTCAGAAGAGTCACACTTTCTCTTTCACTCTGGAAATATAAAAACAAAGCAAAACAAAAACAAACAGTAAAAACAACAATCCACTAAGAATAGCACTTACCTGAGGAGGAGCCATTCCTAACTCCTTCGCTTTCCTCTTCCTCCTCATCTAGGCTTCTTCATGTAATACGATAAGCCTACAGAAGCCAATTCTGTATGTAAAAAATGCTGTTTACTGCACAGAATCGACATACCCTTCCTGTGCCACAACCACACGTAGGGAAGACTTATCCATAGGGACAAATGGTATCTGCTGCCCACAGACTAGGGAGATATAGGGACAACCACCTCCTACACCAAGACCAGCTAGGGCATCTTTTGCCCACTTTCCTCAGAGCTCACTCTGTAAAGGGATCTGGCTCTTAATACATAGTGCCTAACCCCTGTGCTGTAGGCCACGGTCCCTTATGTTTTAGACAGGAAACTTTTACTACTATCACACTCAACAGAAAACGCTTCAGGTCCCCAAAATGTGGTTTTTCATACCCTGACCACTTATTATGGGATTCTCAGGTGGGTACTGCACAACTTAACGGAATTCTGGCACTATCTACCAGAAGAATGTCAGATTCTGAAGACTAAGGGCTCAGTCCTATTAGACAGTCTATCGCTGCAAATACTGTACGCAAGTAGTCGTGGTCACCTATACTGCTGGCTGATCAGACAAAAATCATGGACCAACACTCCTCATTGGGGTTAATATGCTTGACGCCTCTGCCATCTGGCTGTTCATCAGTAACTTCTGTCATATGCCTTCTAAAAAATGAGTAAGGCTCAAGAAACTATTACCTGAGTTGTGAGAGCTGCTCTTCTACAGTAATAGAATTTGAGGAGGTAGGCACGCGAGTCCTCATTTATATCTGGTTTGTCAACAATTCGGGATCTAGCTACTTCTTGGGTACTTCCCCAATGTGGAATAGTCTTCGGGGACTAGGCCCTCAATTTCTGGACCTGAGCCAATTCAGGTACAAAGTATCAGAACTGACTTCTAATTACAGGTCACCTAGTGTCTGATGGAGAACTGCTTGTTGTTGGGGATATATCCCCACATTATCTTGTGACAAGGGATGACATATTCTTTTTGGTGGTCCCTATCACAGTGAACATGAAAGTAGAAAAATGATTTGGTTTTCTTCCTCCTAGCTCATATACTTTCTCCCTTTCTCCAGGAAAAGGGAAGAAAATGACCCACAGTTCAGTCAACTGTCTGCTTTCTGGCTGAATCAGGACTGCAAATGGAAACTCGCTTACAATGCTGAGAATTATTAAATAAACGTCTTGTAGGTAGTTTGCAAAGTTTGCAATTCTCACTCGCTTCTCTACAATAAAAAAACACACAATTTTAAATGTGTTAGATTGTAAACACAGGAATCAATCAGAACCTCAGCAAGCCATGATCTAAAAATGGAGCTGGATCCTGTATGGCTGACTGTTAAGTTCTGGACCAAGAGGCTTCAAAGACACACTGGGAGTTGTATCCCAAAATGCCAACAGAAAGGAGACATGAAAGGGAAAAGATAGCTGGGGTTCTTTCTTCCCTTCTCTCTTTATCCTTCTCTCTGGAGACAAGTACCCTCTGGCAAATTTCAAAAAAGATCACAACTTAATCATCTATATCCACTCAGTCATCCTCCATCTGGACCCAAGATCCCCTTCTTTCATAACTGTGCATCTCCCTCTCTCATCCCATACATCTCTGTCATTCTCACCTCTTCTTTCTAGTTATTGTCCTGTTCACTCCCCCCCGCCACCAGGGTGTCTGCTTATTTTATGCCTCTCTTCTTTCCTGCCATTTCCTCCCTTCTTCTATCTCTTCTTTTATACCTGGTTTGTCTCATTTTTGCAACTTGCTGCTCCTTTCCCCCAATCTTCTGATTGTCCCCAACTTCCGTTCACATCTGCTTGGTCCTTCCCCTTGTCTTGGTTCTGCTCTCTGGTCCCTCCAGACCCCTAGGCTTCCTTCCAGATGTGGCCCTTGGCCTGCTCTCCTGCTGTCCCGGCTCCACGCAGCTATCTACTAATGCTCCAAATCATCATCTTACCCCAGACTCTGTCTGAAGGGCCCCTACCTCTGCCGCTCCCTCCCTACATTTTTCTGCCCACATCTCTCCTGAGATCGAGCTTAGGTTTCTAACAAATTCTTCACCTGACTGCTTGGGGTATTCTTTCTTTTCCACATTTTGACTTCTCCTCAGTTTCTCTCTCTCCTCCCCAATCCCTGTCACCTACACATTCACAGGAGGGGACAGAATGAAATGTCGTCTCCCAGAAATGCACATTTCCAGTGGGAGGCGCAGGACAGGTCCAGCCACTTCCCCACTGAGCGGTAGGGCCTAGCCGGGGAGCACAAGGTCGAGAGGAGAACAAAGAGCGGGCGGGGTCTGCAGGGTCCAGGTCCGGGGCGGAGACGCGGCCCTTCCAGGATACAGCTGCCAGCGCTGGGAGGGCGGCGAGGCTTGGGAACCGGAAGGGCGTGAACCCGCTTGGCGGGGAAGTTTATACTGTGAGGGGCGCACGGAGAGGTCGGGCAAGGTTTTTAAATCGGAAACTTTCTGTAAAGGACGGGTCTATGTGTCCCCAAGGCAGCAAGGCCGGGGCAGGACCAGCCTCAGAGCGATTTTACACCGAGAAGACGCGACCCCAGAACTCTCACGGCGACGTTGTGGAAGGAACGGAGGTGGAGCAAGATTTTAAGATCTGCAGGGAGCCCCACACTCAGAAAGGCTGGGAAACCGGGAGAGCAGACAGTACACAGAGCCCGAAACTTACAACACGCCGTAACTGTCGCTCCGGGAGACTCGCTTTCGCAGCCGCAGGAAATCCCGTGCGCCGCAGAGAGGGTGGGCCTGGGTCGGGCCAGAGCAGGCGGGGCGTCGGTCGTGGCCTATCCTGAACGGGGAGCGCAGGAGGGCGGGACCTGGAGTCGGTCGTGGCCTATCCTGCACGGCGAGCTCAGGGGGGGGGGACCA